CAGCACCGGCCTGCTCCACGGGAATTTGCGGTTTCGTGGTTAAGAAATCAGAGCTGGGGATTGTGACTGTGTCGACGAGTGTAGGTTTTGCTTCCGCTGGAGTGAATTTAGAGGAGATTGCTGTGGAAATATCTGCAGCAAGTTTAGGCACTTCACACATGATGGCGGCAGCGTGATCGTGGAGTACAGGCTTGACTATTTGACTGGCAGCAAGTTTGAAGGTTATTTTCTGCGTTGCCGTAGGGGGAGTTGGTGATGCTTTTGGTGCTGTGTGCTGTTGTTCAACTGTTTCGGGTTTTACAATGTTTTCTGCAGGCCACAGTGCGGTGTGGTCTGCCTGGGTCGTTGTTTCGTGTAGCCCCTTCACGATGGCAGTTGTGGTGGATTTCTCCTGTCGCGATGTCACAGGGCCTTGGTCTTGTGACACTGGCGGTGCTGTATGTTGCTGTTTGGCTAACGCTCGGGGGACAATGGCGGCTGGCATGCTTTCGAAGGCCATAGATGTCATAGTTGCGGTGGAGTGTGTTGGTACCGTTATTTGTGGTTGATAGAGCGGCATTTTAATCGTTTTTTCTGTTGTAATTTGGGTGGCTTTATGCATCATTTCATCTGTGTCTGTGTTTGGTGATGCCTGGACTGTCATAATTTCCATTGTTTGCTTTACCGCTGGGCTTTCTTTGTCTGTGTCTTTCGGTTGCTTTTGGGACGTTTGATTGAGTTTGACTGTGCCTTCTTCGCCTTTCTCCCATTGAGCGTCATGTTGTCTTATGTGTAGTATATCTGTCATATCCAATGGGATTGTCTCTATATCAACCTGCGTGCATTCTTCTACCTTGTTTCCTTCAACTGGTGCATTTCTCTCGTGTTGGCTCCTGGCCGCTGTTACTTCTATATAATTCATGGTGATTGTTTCCAGTCTTCTCTTGGGCGACGGGCTAACCCGCAATAGTTGTCTACTTCGGAAATTTGGATTTTGATCCCGCTGTTCACGCTTCATGAGGTTCCTTTCTAAGCACATTCGTCTGTTGAGTGTTATTCCGCTAGATACTGTGTCGAAGAACTCATCATGCTTTCCTTCGTAATCTCTGGCCAATATATTCACCGGACCTTCCGTAGTAGGCCCAACATATATTTGGTGTCGGGCAACCCATGGCTGTTCAGTTTCAGATGTGGTGGATTTACCCGTTACGTAGATGTCCGTTGAGCCTGTTGAGGAGAACTCGGGTTGACGAATGCGGACCGGTCCACGCAAGTAATTCGACCGCATTGTCAGACCTCGGTGACTCTCCAGGGACTTTAAGCCGTACCGATATTCGCTGTGGCGTTTGTCGAGTTGAGAGTTTTCACTGAAACTACTTGTGGACAAATCCTCGGACGATGAATGATACTCTCCATGTGAATGGTAGGTTCTTCTGTCTGCATATTGAGACTCCCATTGCTTGACTTCAGTCATTAGACGTTCCAACTTGTGATATTCGTGCGATACTTCTTCCCTAAAGGTAAATATATAGTGTAATTGAATTGCGCGTCTTACTCAAAGTAGTCCGAGTTCTCCTCCTCCTCCGCATTCAGAAATGTGGGCAACGTCCACTTCTTCAGAGGTGTCTCCTCAGTGTGTTTCTCGAAACGTGCGAGTTGGCTCATATGTTCCTAAACAAGAAACGTGTGGATTTGAATAAAATTAGAAACCCAATCTACAACTTTACGCTTATTAATTATTAACAATCCAAGTCCAAGGTTATCTCCCCTAAGACATGAAGACTCAAAAACAAGAACGTGAAACAAATTGCTGACTAGGCGAACTTGCTGCATTTAGCTGATCTTTAAATATGAATCAGAGTCCCCATCCTGCCGTTCTAGAGCCTACTCGAGCTGTCGAAGTA